TTGAGTCATTGAATTGAATATTAGGGTTGGAAGGGACCTCAGAAGATCATCTAGTCCAACCCCCTGCTCAAAGCAGGACCAATACCCCAATTTTTTACCCCTGCCCTAAATGGCCCACTCCAGGATTGAACTCCTAACCCTGGGTTTAGTAGGCTAATGCTCAAACCACTGAGCTATCCCACCCCACGAGTGCAAGACCTTTCGACCATTTTGTATACAAAAATCTGTCCTGCTTCAACAGTCTGTGTGCTGGAATCAAGGAGCTGAATTTTCTAGTAGAGCATCCCTCAAATAGCATGTCTTCATTTCCTTCTTTAAAAAAAAATAAATAAAGAAAAAGGGAAAGGGTTTTCTTCTCCTTCACTAAATTTACCTGGGTCTTTTGGTCAGGCCTGCAACCACTACCATCACCAAATATGCCCAGGCCAATTCTTTCTCCCCCACCTTCCTCTTCCCTCTTAAGCTTTGCTGTTGCTGTTATTACTGGTAAGCACCCTCTTGCAGAGCAGAGGATGCATGGAAGCTTTGCCACAGCAGCAATGTCTTAGAGCAGTGGTGCCCAAACTTTTCCTGTTGTGCCTCCCCTTATCAGTAATGGAATCTGTCTGCACCCCCTCAGCAGTAATGGTGTGAAAGCCTTGGCTGTGCAGAGGAGCTTAGGTTCAAGGCACAGGTGGGAGTGGAACTGGGGATGGGGGAAGAGCTGGGGATAGAGGTGGAGCTGGCCGGGGGGCAGAGAGGGCATGACGGCAGAGCTGAGCTGCAGGCAGAACAGAGCTGCGGCTTGGCGCAGAGCGGAGCTGAGGGGCGCTCCTTCCTTGCCCTCCATGGGGGTTGCCCGGGCCCTGCCACATGCCCTCCCAAACATTCCTCCACCCACCCCTAGGGGTAGGATATGTACTCATATGCATGCCCCTGGGGGGGGCATGCCCCACAGTTTGGGGACCACTGCCTTAGAGCGATCCAGCTGGCCATCAACAAACCAATGGAACTGACTAGGCACAAAGCAAGGAAACTGAAAAAAAATGGAGAAAACAAACATTTTCTCTACAATACTTTTCTTCGCATAATTTTAGAGATTACTTGTCGTAAGTACTAATGTTCGCATGGAATTGTGATTTCCAAGTTGATGTGGTCCCTTTGATACCCTAATAAATCTAGCTCATGTAAAGCAGTTTCCCTTCTCAGAGAGATTGTTTCAGGTTGTCTGCAGACTCAGGCAGAGAACACTGCATCCATAAAACTTTAAAAACATGAACTAAATGTACATTCACAACTATGAAGTATACAAGGGGGTAAGGGTATTAATGAAAACGTTGTAACAATCACAAATTAATAGATTCTAAAGGCAGAAGGGACCACTGTGGTCATCTAATTTGCCCTCTTGAATAACACAGGCCACAGGACTTCCCTGAATTAATTCCTGTTTAAAACTAGAGCATATATTTTCAAAAACCATCCAGTCTTGATTTTAAAATCGCCAGTGATGGAGAATCCACCACAAGCCCTTGGTAAGTTGTCCCAGTGATTAAAGATTTGCACTTTATTTCCAGTGTGAATTTGTCTAGCTTTAGCTTCTAGCCATTGGATCTTGTTACAGATGCCCCCCAGGTCACGCAAACCCAACTTACGCAAATCCGCACTTACGTAAAAATTTCCATAAGCTAGATATAGGAGTTGGTGGTGCGGGGGGGGAGGGAGATTGCGCGTAATGGTCGGGTATACATTTCCAACTTAGGCAAAATTCAAGTTACGCAAGGCGTTCCGGAACGGAAAGCTTGCATAAGTCGGGGAGCGCCTGTATACTTTTGGCTGATACATTGAAGAGTCGGCCTACTATCAAATTTCTGTTCCCCATGTAGATACTTAAGTGATGAAGTCACTTCTTAATCTTCCCTTTGTTAAGCTAAATAGATTGCGCTCCTTGGGTCTATCAATATAAGGCATGTTTTCCAATCCTTCAGTCGTTCTCGTGGCTCTTCTTTTAACCCTCTCCAATCTAGTAAGATCCTTCTTGAATTGTGGACACCAGACATGGACACTGTGTACCCATAATGGTCACACCAATACCAATCTGAATTTGAGTCTATCATGTAGGCTGTATAGTTCCAACATGAAGGCTGGATCTAGCCTCCAAGCCGCGTGTTTTGACACAATTGTATTAGCATATTAAACATATACTGATTATAAACTAACATTCAATCTAATGCAATACTGGATCAGCACTCTTACACTAGGCTTGCACTTCTACTCAGAGACCTACAAGAATGCAGTCAACTAAAGAGGGCAAGACTGAGGGACAAACAGGAACAACTGATTATTATACATCAGGAATGTATGTAAAGATTGCATATAAATTGTATATTTTTGACTATATCTCTTACAATTGAAGTGACGGAAGAAGGGAAAGGGCAGAGATTGTATTGTGTGTTTGTACATTACCTAGAACAGTACCGCTGATTGGAGCCTCTGGGCAATGCTGTTATTAATAAGAGACTAACTTTTCCACATTTGAAGTTAATCAAAATTTCAGTTTATACGTAATAAGAAGTGCTTCTTACCTTTGGAACTTGAAGATTGCCAGAATGAGCCAAACGGATGCTCTTTTCCTTTAAACAAGGTAGATTAGAGCACTACAAAAAATGAGAAAATAAAAGATATCTATATAATACTGTGTATTCAGCATTAATCAAGCAGTTATACTAAGATGTCAAAGTATTGATTCACTAAGTGAGCATATTGGTACTCTGAGAATTATTCTTTATAGAGCACATTTCATCTGGAAACATTATACAGTTAATGAATAACCATTCTATATTCACTAGTGCCTTCTATTTTATGATCATATAATCCTAATGCAAACCTTGCCATCAGGTTAGTGGCAGGTTGCAATACAAAGAATTCCCCAGGCAGCAAGGCCCAGAAGAGCATTTAAAGGTCTCAGTTCAGACATTGGTATTTTCTTTCACATTATCGTACTCATCCAGTATGACCATATCATCTCACTCGGAATTTCTTGTGATTATTCATACTGCAATAGCACCTAGATGCCTTGATCAGGATCCATTGTGTTAGGTACTGCACAAACATGGCCCCTATCCCAAACAGCTAACAAGAGTAGGTCTCACAGAATAGTCCAATTGACTGTCTTCATTTAAACTACTCAAGTGCATAGTTACATGTGTAAGTGCTCGCAGAATCAGGGCCTACGTTTATAGTTCACTGGCTCTCATGAGTCTATTGCATAAAGTTTTAACTTCTTGCCTTTGCCTTCAAGCTTCTGTATAATTGTCCCTGCCTAGATAGCCAATCGAGTCTCATCACACCTTACGCATCCTTCAATCTTCTACTCCACCAACGAGGCCAGCTTTACGCTCCATTTGTCTGCTTCTCACCATAACAATGCTTTATTCACATACACCCCCAAATATGGAATGCCCCTCATTGTGATCCATCAAGTAAAAACTCTCAAGATTCACTATTCCTACTATTCTCACAAGAAGACAATTATTATTATTATTAACAAAAAAAAGTCTAAATGAACCAAGGCTAGATGGACCTTTGGTCTGACCCAGTACGGCCGTTCTTATGTTCAAGACGGATAAATGCCTCAAGGACTGACTGCATGACCGTATTGCTGTAACCTTTGTCCTTCCTTAACCCAGCCCCTTTGTACACACCCCAACGCCGCTTTCTACACACCCCAACTCACCATATTTTGAAGTTAGACTCTAAAATTCTTCACAAGCAGGGATCACATCGCTTTGTGTGATCAGCAAAGCATCTAGCCCACTTTGGGCATGGTGTGACTTGTTTCATTATCCACAAGTTTTAGTTGCTGTTTTTCTTCCAGTTCTAAAACACTTCCAGATTTTGGAAGTGAAGTCTCTGCAATGACTTACTCTAATTTTTAACTCACTTTGATGCAAGGAATACCAGTTGTGACGTTGTGCAGTCTATATGATTTTATAAAAATATAAGTGAATATAATGTAACTGGAATATGCTTCATGCAAAAGGTCTCTTGTAAGGTATCATTACAAAGCTTATAATCTACTGAGTGTGATCATCCCATTTGTATAAATGTACCACTCTTGTATCTAAAACTGGAAATATAAAATATAACTCTGAGGCCTATTGTAATTATGTAAAGTGTGGGCCATTAATGATGGTTTGGAATCTTGATGACTCCCATTAACAAGGACCATTGTTTGCAGATGGCTGTATTTACCTGTGAGTCTTCCTGTATTTGTCTGTGCTGGCAAGTGAGTAATGAAGTCTTGCAGTGACATGTGATCATGTCACCTGAACTGGAATCCATCTTTAACCTGGTGCTTTTCCAGTGTGTGTGTGTGTGTGGTGGGGGGTGGGGGGG